GATTACTTCATCTGAGGAGAACGTGGTGCTCTACAACGAAACAGGTATTTTCCCACTTTATGGGCAAACTAGCTGTGTCAACCTCTGTCCGGAAGTCAAGCTATTTCCTTGCTCTTTAGAATTCTGTGTCTCTGCGTCTCTTGTATCCAGGAACGGATGGGTGCACGTTGGTTTTATGCTATGTACGTGGCTTCTGTACATATCACAGGAGGGATGACCCCAAGTTGAGTTACTCTGTTAAAGATATTTTAAACCATTAGGACTATTAGATCCAATTTGAGAGGGAAGAAGAGACACCTGGCCAAAAGTTCAAGCCCTTCTGCATTACCCTTCTTTCTCAAAGTTAACATATAAAGTGCTGCAAATCTGAATTTCTTCCAGTCCCTTCAAAAGCAACCTCAAATTTCTACAAACAGGATGTCTCCTAGTTATCCTTCAAAATAGATTTACTTTCAGGTACCAAAACCTAACAAACCAAACCTACCGCTGTCAAATCCATTCTGACCCATGGTGCTCCCACGTGTTACAAAGTAGAACTGAGCTCCGTAGGGTTTTCTTGGCTGCAATCTTCATGGAAGCAGTTTGCCAGGTCTTTCTCCTGTGGCACTGCTGAGTGGGTTTGAACCCCCAACCTTCAGGTTAGCAGCCAATCGCAATCCACTTGCATCACCCAGGGAGTTCTTTTTAAGGTACCAAACCAAAACCAAACCCACTGCTGTCGAGTCGATTCGGACTCATAGCGACCCTGTAGGACAGAGTAGAACTGCCCTTACAGGATTTCCAAGGCTGTAAATCTTTGCAGAAGCGGATTGCCACAACTTTCTCCTGCAGAGAGAGCACTAAACCACTGTGCCGTCAGGTTTCCTTTTACGGTACAGGGCTTTATAATATAGAGATTAAACTAGAGGCCTTTAAAACTTAGTTTGCTCACATACTCCCTAAATTAATTTAGAAAACTGTGTTCCTACTTCTATATTTTGAAGTTGACATCTACTTTTTTTATTGAAAGTTAAATAGTTGCAAAAGATATAATTTCTGTCATATTGTTAATATTTATATTGGAAAATATAACCACTATATCCATCTTTTAAATGTATCTAATAAAATAGATCTCTTTAAAGCGTTAAAAAGTAAAGACGTCACTTTAAGAACTAAGGTGAGCCTGACCCAAGCCATGGTGTTTCCAGTTACCTCATATATGTGCGAAAGCTGGACAATGAATAAGGAAGGCTGAAGAAGTATTGATGTATTTGAATTATGATGTTGGCAAAGAATATTGAATATACCATGGACTGCCAGAAGAACAAACAAATCTGTCTTGGAAGAAGTACAGCCAGAATGCTCATTAGAAGTGAGG